AGTGTGGTGAAACCTGCCTCCCTCCCCCAGGAGGAATACCGCAGGTCCATGCTGCAGGAGTCCATAAAATTTCGAGAATTGAAACTCAGTCACATGCCTGAGATGAAAACACTCAGTCACAGTCTTGATGAATAGAGTTTTGGGGGAAACCAGGGAGACAAAAGTAATTGACTACTGTTTTGTGAGGGCTCCCTGAAGAGTTGCGGGTGCAAACTTTGGGCTAGAGAGTTGCCTTTTAGTTTTGTTGGCTATTTCCTTTGCTGTGCAAAAGCTTGTTATCTTGCTTTTTGCTTTTGTTTCCCTTGCCTTTGGAGATGTGTATAGCAAGAAGTTGCTGCAGCCAATGTCAAAGAGGTTGCTGTCTGTGTTCTCCCTAGGATTTGGATGGTTTCCTGTCTCACATATAGGTCTTTCATCCATTTTGAATTTATTTTTTGTGTATGCTATAAGAAAGTGGCCCAGTTTCATTCTTTTGCATGTGGCTGTCCAGTTTTCCCAACACCATTATTGAAAAGACTGCCACTCCATTGGATATTCTTTCCTCGTTTGTTGAAGACTAATTGACTATATAGTTGTGGGTCCATTTTGGACAAAACAAAATAAAGTAGTATTGAATTATAATCCAAAATATAAAACAAATATCCATGAGCCCATACTGATATAAATAAAAGACCAAAGAAATAGTAAATGGGGAAGAAGAGTTAAATCTTCTATGCAGAAGAATTCCAAATTAATTGTGTATATATTCCACCCTAAAGGAGGAAAAGCAAAACACCCTACTCCCCCACATTCCCTTAAATGTGGGCTACTCATAGTGACTTCCTTCTAAAGAGCTCAGTATGGAAAGAGGGAAAAAACAAAACAAAACAGAGTAACTGTGCATTGAAGAAACCTGAAAAATACTACGTCAGCCAGGTGATTATGGTTAACATCAATAATATTAAGTCTGGTTGTCAGTATGTACCGTGTAATCAATATGGTATTTACTGCTGTGATTTTCCTCCTCAAAACCCATAAGCCTAGTCTAATCATGAGGAAAACATAAAATTCCAATAAAAAGGCTTCCTGCAATATGCCATACCAGACTCCTCAGGACTGTTAACATCATCAAAAAAAAAAAAAAAAAGGAAAGTCTGAGAAACTGTCACACCCAAGAGGAGCCTAAGGAGACATGGCAACAGTATAATGTGGTATCCTGGATAACACCCTGGAAAGAAAAGAACATTAGATAGAAACTAAGGAATTATATCAATATTAGTTCATTAGTTGTAACAGATATACCATATTAATATAAGATGTTAATAGGAGACACTATACAGAGGATATAGAGGAACTGTCTGTACTATCTGCTTAATTTCTCTGTAAATCTAACACTGTTCTAAAAAGTAAAGGCTGTCAGTAAAAAAAAAATTAGAGGAGACAGTCCCAAATAATATATGCAGCTGTATAATTTAACATGTTTAATAAATCAGCTACGAATTAAAAAAAAAACAAAACCTAATGTATGGTGACAGAAAGCAGATTAATGGTTGCCTGGGGACAAATGGCCAATGACAGAGATGGGAGAGGATAGGAAAGAGCAGTAGGAAGGGATTAAAAAGTGGTGTGAGGAAACTTCTGGTGCAAAAGGGTTTATTTATCATCTCGTTTGTGGTGAATGTTTCACAGGTACATAAATATGTCAAAACTTCACAAAATGTACATTTTAAATATGTGCAGCTTATTGTATGACAATTATACTTTAATAAAGCTTTTTTTTTAAAGTATAAACAAACAAACTTCTAAATTTGAATTCTCTTCTCCAAAAATAGTCTTCAAGAATATTTGGAGTTTGCCCTCTCACATCTGAATTTAACAAGTAAATTTTATTTCACTCAAAATTCTTATATTTGAGAATTACTGTACCAACAATGCCTCATCACCCAGCATTAAATTTCATGGCATAATGGTGATTTAGGAAGTGCTGGGCATCTTTATTATTGTTTTCCTACCTCAAGATTTTAAATCTTATGGAAACAAACTAGTCAGTCTGTTAGCTTAAGGGAATTTTTATAACCAGTCAAAATTGAGCCAAATACAGTTTGCCATTTAAAATGAAGCCTAGTGCCAATTTTATGGCTATAGCAATCTGAAAACCGAATTCTAAGCCATCTGCTATTTAAAACTCAGACCCCTAAGAAGACTGACATTTGATCACCTGGGTTCAAATCTGGCTATGCTACTGTCTTTATAATTTTGGGCTACTCTATGCCTCAATTTTCTCAACTATGAAATGGAGATAATAGTGTCTACTTTACAGGACTGTTGAAGGATTAAATAAATTAACACATGTAAAGGTCTTAGAAGACTACCTGGTAGTGCTCTCCAGATGGTACAAATTCTACGGATTCTATGGCATTAACCATCAGGGAAATATAAATTAAAACCATAATGAGATGCCAATTCACACACACTATGCAGGCTATAATAAAAAAGACAAACAGGTGTTGCCAAGAATGTGGAGAAATTGGAACCCTCATCCCCTCCTGGTGGGAATATAAAATGTGTGGTCTCTTTGGAAAACCGTCTGGCAGTTCTTCAGAGGGTGAAACCTAGAGTTACCATATGACCCAGCAATTCTACTCCTAGTTATATCCAAGAGAAATGAAAATATATGTTCATACAAAAACTTATACATGGTTGTTCATAGGAGGATTTCATAATAACCTAAAGTAGAAACCACCCAAATGTCCAAGAACCAGTAAATGGATAAATAAAATGCAGTATATCCACACAATGAAATATTATTTAGAAAAGAATGAAGTACTGATACATGCTCCAACATGGCTGAACCTTGAAAACATTATGCTAAGTGAAAGAAGCCATCAAAAAAAGACCACTTACAGTATGAGTCCATTTATATGACATGAAATGCCCAGAATAGTTAAATTCAGAGAGAAGAAAAGTAGATTGTGGCTGCTGGTAGATTTGGGGTGGGAGGATTGAGGAGTGACTATTAATGGGTATGAGGTTTATTTTGCGGGTAATGCAAATGTTCTAAAATTGATAGTGATGGTGGTTACACAACTGTGAATATGCTTAAAAACCATGAGATTGTATGTGTTAAAATGGGTGAACTATATGGTATGTGAATTATATCTCAATAAAATATGTTAAGTGGTTTAAAATAGATTAGAAAAAGCCTGAAAGCAACAATGACAGTATTAATAAATTGGTTCACCTCTCTAGTCTCATCCCCTTCCATTCCCATATTTACCCTATGCTCCATCCATAATGAATGGCATCCTTGCAGTTCCCATATTATGTCTTCCCATTTGATGTCCTATGAACATCTCTATCTGCTTCCTAGAATTTGCTTCACCCCTCTTCTACCTCTCTAACTCCTTTAAATTCAAAATTTGTCAGAATAAGCTAATTGTTAGAACAATCAATTCCAAAATCCAGTGGCCTACATCATATAGCTTTATTTCTCACTCATGTAGACCTGCCCCAGGTGATTTAGGGATCCAAGATCTTTACCTCTAGTAGTTCTGCCCATCCTGGAGTCTTGGAATCTTCCACTGTATTCTCTATATCTGGCTGAGAAAACCTGTGGGGCATCAGCACAGATAGGATCTTGAGGAACTTTTTAAATGATTAATTCAGTTTTGAACATGGTATTTAGGATGACATCAAGATAACCAATGGTCTTGGGTTCAGCAGAGATTGTTAATTTATGATTCTGTACCTCAAATATATTGCAATATTCTCCCCCTCTCTCTATTATATCTTATAAAATAAGAGGTGATCTTCTTAAACAATAAACCTCAAAGATAATTATTTTTAAGAATAAATATGTTGGGGGAGAAAATACTATTTACCATCTCTATTGAGGGACTTAAGATGTAGCACAGAATATAAGCTGGAGCTAAGGGAAACTTTCCTTAAAGTACTAGTTAATAAAAGTTGGAATAAATTCCTTAGACAAAATACGACACACAACCTCTAAACTTCAGAACCGGTGAAGAGGTATTATCAACTATCTTCCACTCCCAAATTTCTCTGCCACATTGAGGACTGTTCCAGAGGAGCAAGACATCTCGGTTGTATTAAGAGAAATTTGAAAGTACTCACTTTCATGGAAGTCATAACAGAGAGAATCTCTTTTATATTATTTAGGATCATCCTTGATACTTTCTTTAACATAGCCAAATATCTTTCTCGATGTTAAATCTTTACAAAACTGAAATCCTGAAAGAATCCATTCGTTTTTCCAGTTAGATTGAGCATGATTCTTAATTGGTAGTACAATATCTTAATATGTTTATGAAGTTCCATTCCACAGCACCTGCCGTTCAGAGCGGAATTCAGACTAGTGGTTGGGAATACCAAATCCAGAATTTCAGATCAGGTGCGTCATTGGTGTAGGGAGGGGCTTTGGGCGGGGCATCCCGATAGGGCGGAGGCGTCATTAGAAAGCGGTGGGGCCAGGCTACAGCTGTCATTACTCGAGTTAAGCTTAGTATTATTTGTGTTCGAGGATATGATGTGTAAGCAGCATTCTCAATGCAAACTAGTTTCACTCAGCACTTGAGTGAAATATATAAGTACAGACGTTTCGTCCTCCTGAACTGCCGAGAAACGTGAGAGCTCCAGGGATGATTGTCGCCCGCTATTTATTGGGAGCAGGCAGAAACCCGACTGTTTTTGAGAATGGGCTGTAGGGAGAAGTCCAAGTAGCCCCAAGGTTTTAATGAGAAGGAAAGTGGAACGCAGTCAGGGATTGGGAGCTACAAGACACGCTCCGCTTTGAAGCCGGAGAAAAAGTCGGGAGAGAGAGCCGCGCACGTAATTGCTTTCGAAGTCACCGCCACTCGAGTGCTGGAATTGTGAGTACTCTGCGCCTCCGGTCCACCGACTGAAGTCGGAGAACTATCCCAGCTAGGAGACTACCTTCTCCTGCTCTCCCCACCTGACTGCCACCCTTCCTCTGCCTACCAGATGGAGGGCAAAGGCAGTAGCTGACCAGCGCCGCCCCCTTCCGACCCGGGAGGTGGAGATCCCCCACCCCTCCCCACAGAGTCCAGCCAAATTCAACTTAACTTTCTCCTCCCGCTGCTCCTATATTTCCCACACTTCCTCCTCCTTCCCCTATCCCTCCTCCTTACAGACAGGGGAGGAGAAAAAGGGGAGTTCAGGTCGTCATGACAGAGCCGAAGGCAAAGGATTCCCAGGCTCCCCACGTGGCGGGCGGCGCGCCCACACCGGTCGGATCGCCTCTGTCGGGACGCCGGGACGCTGGCTCCTTCCAGGCGAGTCAGACCTCGGACGCCTCCCCTGTAGTTTCGGCCATACCCATCTCCTTAGACGGGCTGCTCTTCCCTCGGCCCTGCCAGGGACAGAACGCGGACGGGAAGACGCAGGACCAGCAGCCGCTGTCAGACGTGGAGGGGGCGTATCCCAGAGTAGAAGCCACAAGCGGTGCAGGAGCTGACAGCTCTAGACCCCCAGAAAAAGACAGAGGGCTGCTGGACAGTGTCTTGGACACGCTACTGGAGCCCGCAGGCCCGGGGCAGAGCCACGCCAGCCCTCCTGCTTGTGAGTCCACCAGCCCTTGGTGCCTGTTTGGCTCCAAGCTTCCCGAAGAACCCCGGGTTGCCCCCACCACCCAGGGGGCGTCGTCCCCGCTCATGAGCCGGCCAGAGAGCAAGGCTGGCGACAGCTCCGGGAGGGCAACTGCCCATAAAGTGCTGCCCAGGGGCCTGTCACCGTCCCGGCAGCTGTTGCCCCTGACCTCTGGGAACCCTCTTTGGCGGGGCGCCGCAGTGAAACCAGCACCGCAGCCGGCTGTGGTGGACGTAGAGGAGGAGGATGGCTTCGAGTCCGAAGGCTCCGTGGGTCCGCTTCTGAAAGGCAGATCCCGGCCTCTGGGAGGCACGGTAGCTGCAGGAGGAGCTGCGGCCACCGCTCCTGGAGTGGCCACAGGAGGCGTCACCCTGGTCCCCAAGGAAGATTCCCGCTTTTTGGCGCCCAAGGTCTCCCTGGCGGAGCAGGACGCTCCCGCGGCGCCCGGGTGCTCCCCGTTGGCCACCACGATGATGGATTTTATCCACGTGCCCATTCTGCCCCTCAACTCGGCCTTCCTGGCCGCCCGCACCCGGCAACTGCTGGAAGGGGAGAACTATGACGGCGGGGCTGCGGCTGTCAGCGCCTTTGCCCCGCCGCGGGGCTCGCCCTCGGCTTCGTCCACCCAGGTAGCTGCCAGCGACTTCTCCGACTGTGCATACCCGCCCGACGCCGAGCCCAGGGACGATGGGTTCCCGCTTTATGGCGACTTCCAGCCGCCTGCCCTGAAGATCAAGGAGGAAGAGGAAGGCACCGAGGCAGCTGTGCGCTCCCCGCGGCAGTACCTGGTGGCGGGTCCTAATCCCGCTGTTTTCCCAGATTTGCCGCTGGCTCTGCAGCCGCTACCTCCGCGAGCTCCATCGTCCAGACCCACGGAAGCGGCGGTGGCGGCCGCCGCACCCGCCAGTGCCTCTGTCTCCTCGGTGTCCTCGTCGGGGTCGACCCTAGAGTGCATCTTGTACAAAGCCGAGGGCGCGCCGCCCCAGCAGGGCCCGTTTGCTCCGCCGCCCTGCAAGGCGCCAGGCGCAGGCGCCTGCCTGTTGCCCCGGGACGGTGCCTCCACCTCCGCTTCTGCTGTCGCTGCGGGGGCGGCCCCTGCGCTCTACCCGCAGCTCAGCCTCAACGGGCTCCCGCAGCTCGGCTACCAGGCCGCGGTGCTCAAAGAGGGCTTGCCGCAGGTCTACCAGCCTTATCTCAACTACCTGAGGTAAGGGCCCCGGGCGGGGCTCGGGGATTCCTATGAGTCTCGCGAATAGCGGACCAGCCAGTTCGTCGCCGCTAGCTTCTGGCCCTCAGGGTCCCACTCACCCGAGTGGCCTCAAGAGGGTGGGTGGTCGGGGCGGAGCACAAGGGTAATTTGGTTTCCTTTTACTTCCCTCCTCTCCTTACTATTTTAGGGACACAAAGGGGGCGCATAATATGCCGTTTTTGGAGCGTGCCTCCTCAAAAATATTTTCTAAACTTTCCAAATCTGCGAGGCAAAACTAGCCCTGATTTAAAATGTGCAACGTCATTCTAGGTGCCGCAGTGGAGCGGAAAAAGCGCAGCGAGTTGGGGGCTTTATAAAATGGTTATTTTCTTAGAAGGACATTTACCGGGATTGTCTTTCTTGGAGAAGAGACTTTAAGGCACGGATCCTCCTGGAGGGGTGGTAGTTGATGTATGGTAGCTTGCCAGAACTGAAAGCATAACTTCACGGATTGGGACATTTAATGGCTCAATTTTCATACGAATCTCAAGGCTAAAGTTGTGTGTAATATGTTTACATTATGGATTTAAACATCAATCACTACCAGTGCACTGTATTCTATTATTGTTTCGGTTTCGCTACAACTTTTTTCACACAGGTTTTCAAAAACATTTTGATTTACATACTGAAGTAGTGGAATTTTTAAAGAATGTTCGCTTTAGAATCTTATTGCTGTGAATGGGCAAAACAGTGTCAATATACTGAACAATTCTTTAAAATGGCAAACACATACTCGTGTAAGTAAACAATCATTAGGGGTTTGTTAAAAACTCAAAACAAAGCATTACTAAGTACCACTGAACCCTTAAAACCGTGTTTATAGTTACCCAGGCTACAGGAAGGGAATAACATTTCATTTGTCAAAGAGTAAATTTATTTCTCTATATAAGGAGTTTTGCAGAAATATTTTTTTTGACAGAACCAATGAACCTTTGCTTTCCTGAACATAAAATTATATATTATTCTTTTATGTTGGTGCTGCTGATGAATGACTAATAACTTGCAAATGTGGTGAATCCAGTAACAGTACACCAAGTTTAATTTGCATGTCTTTCAAGGGTGTGTATACATTCAGTTCTATTTTAAAATCCCCTTTCACTCTGTCAATTCTGTTAAGAAAACTTTAGTATTAGCTAGTGGTGCACCTAAAAATAAATGGAGTACTTTGTTTTGCATTTCAAGGCCGGATTCAGATGCCAGCCAGAGCCCACAGTACAGCTTCGAGTCATTACCTCAGAAGATTTGTTTAATCTGTGGGGATGAAGCATCAGGCTGTCATTATGGTGTCCTCACCTGCGGGAGCTGTAAGGTCTTCTTTAAAAGAGCAATGGAAGGTAGGTTCCTTTCTCCTGATCCTTTATTTTTGGTTTAATTGTAAACCGAGACCATCTATTATTTTTTAGATTTTAATTATCCCTTGCTTCTAAGAAATGGTGATATTTCCATATAACTTAAAATATATGACTATGTTTTAACAATGTTTTTATTTATAATACTCAAAATTGAATGTGGTTGGATATTTTAATTGCATACTCTGACTAGCCCTCAAGTTATACTAATCTTGGGGACAAAGTTGCTATTGTTCATTACCTATTTAGCTTTAAAGAAACAGCTTGGCTATAATTGTATTTTTATATTTCTATTATATATTATATGTAACATGTACTAAATTTAAAATTTTGATCAGAAGAAAAATGGTAAAAGTCATTGAAATTATGTATATGTATTTATATGTGTGTGCATATATATGTGACACAGTTACAAATTTTCTACATAATTTTGTCTTTTCTCTACATTCATATTTATGTAACACTTATATAATGGTAATTCTAAACAAATTTTTAAAATTCTCTTTTTGTTTGGTATATTTTTATAAGGGGATAGGAGTAAACAGTTTAAAGCAAATGAAAAATTTGGGTAGCACAATAACAGTTTCTGAAGAAGTAGTTTGCTATAAGACCTTCATATTTTTAAAATCATCTAAATTACGTATTTACCTAATGATTTTGAATTGACTTACATAAGGTATTTTGGACTTGAACTGAGCTGAAATGAGTTTAGGGTTTCCTCTGGAGTGAGGAGATCACACCTGGACAAGGAACAAAAGATCTGATTACCTGCTTTTTTGCTTCCTGTTTGTGAGGTTTTTTATTTTTTTAATTTCAAGAGCCTTCTATTTATAAGTAGGAGGGGAAGGAATGGGGAATTTTTACCTTAACGAAATTTTCAAAGGAGTTTGATGTGCATATTTAATATGCATCAAAAGAATATAACCTAAAAGACATTTTAAATTCACTATTCTTGTAGATGCGTTAACAGGTGATTCTTTACAACTATTATACCTTTTTGGTAAAAATGATTTCCAACCATTTATTAGTAGTATTTGTAATAATTCTACTTAAATTAATTCTTCTTAAAGAATATTTGCTTTGTACTTATCTAGATTATGATTTTTTTTTCCACAAAGGATGAATATACTTAACTGATCCTGAACAAATGTATTCAGCTTCGGGAGGTTTTAATTGCATTTTAAATTAATTGAATCACTGTGTGTAAAGAGGCTACATGAGAAAATGGGACACCACTGAGAGTGACCCCAGCTTTCCTATTGACATTATTTAGTTATAGTTACAAGTAGGAGTTCTTTGTGTAGAAGAGTAGATTCTCCAGCACATAATTGGAGTTACCATTTCCATGTGACTTTAGTTTTGGTTTTTTGAACATTCCTTTTGACATTAATAGGATTTCCTTCATTCTTACAGTCTCCTTAGAGTAGTCTAATTTTATAAGTGAATGACCCCCGTAGAATCCCCTATCTGAAGGCCAGTTTTTTTCCAGCCCAGCTCCATCTCTTTATAGATAAGCAAGTCCCAAAGACATAAATTTGAATTTCCAAAGAGCACACAACTTGTTAGTAACTAATTGTTAGTCACCATAGGTTAGATACTCTTTCACTGCAATGCTTATAAATCAGAGATGGTGTGCACAAATAGATATATGATGAATGCTACTTAATTTTCAGAAGTTACTTCAAAATGTGCATATAGAACCAAGAGCACCCTAAGTAAAATATGAATGCTTTTATAGTATCAAAATAGTATTCAGAAGCCACATAAAATGTCTTCCCAAATTTACTCTTAGTAAGCATTTGTTGGACCATTACTGTTGGCATGATCCTGTTTTAGTCCTGAGTAGTAGAAATGAAGTACCTTTATTTGGCAATATTTACAAAAAGGAACCCAAGATGGATGTTTATAAGTCATTCATGAAATGAAAGCAAGATTACAAAATGATATGAGTAATTTCATTCATTCAGCAGGGGTTTTTTTTAATTTAAATTTTAATTTTTTAAAAAAGATTTTATGTATTTGACACAGAGAGAGAGGGAGAGAGCAAGCACAAGCAGGGGGATCGGCAGGCAGGGGAGAAGCAGGCTCCCCACTAAGCAAGGCACCCAATGCGGGGCTCCAATGTGGAGCTCAATCCCAGAACCCTGGGGTCATGACCTGAGCCAAAGGCAGCCGCTAAACCAACTGAGCCACCCAGGCACTCCCATTCAACAGTTATTTTATAACTCTTATATTTAGGTCTGTGGCAAAGATATTCTTCCCTTGACTTCACCTCTCTCTGCCTTAGATATAAAATGAGGATAACAAAGCTACGCCTCAGGGTTGTTATAAAGATTAAATGAGTTAATACATGCAAAGTTTTGAAATAAATGTCTAGTATATTGTCAACTTCAATTGGTGTCACTTTTGTCAAGGAGCTTATGATAGAGTTGAGGAGGTAACATATATGCATGTATTTTTGCATATAAAATAGAGATTCTCACTAAATGCCCAGATAAGCAAATTTGTAAAGTAGTTAAGATTTGTGTGGTTTGTGAGTTAGTGTGTTTAGCGGGAGGAAGTTGGTTGTAGGATGGAATGTGCTTATTCTATAATGACAGGGGAAGACTTCATGGAAAATATGAACTGCATTTGATTACTAGAGAACAAGTAAGATTATTGATCTCTGGGCATTGAGGAGGGCTTTTAAGTGTATATGTCCAAAGAGAAGTGAAAAGATTAAGATTTGACTAAGACTTGAAGAATTATATTAGGAAATCATTAAAATTAAAGGTTGGGAAGTTTAATTGCCGGTGTTTGAATGAACTGGGATAAAATCAGTGATTTGAGACAAGTTAATAGAAGTTTCTGGGAATTTTCATGACTAAGAAAGATGAGTAGAAGGACTTTAACAGTTGGAAAGAAATGGGTGTGAAATCTAAAGTAGGGGTAGTTCAAGGTAGAACTATGTGTGGATGCCAATATGTCCAGAAATGGAAAGTTGGTGGTCAAAAATATAGATATTGTTACCAAGGATAATAATGATAATAGCAGGGCACCTGGGTGACTCAGTTGGTTAAGCGTCTGCCTTCAGCTCGGGTCATGATCTCAGGGTCCTGGGATCAAGCCCCATGTCCCTGCTCAGCAGGGAGCCTACTTCTCTCTCTCCCTCTTCCACTCTCCCTGCTTGTGCTTGCTCTCTCTCTCTCAAATAAATACATACAATCTTTTAAAAAAATGATAATAGCATTTTAGAGTACTTTCTATGTACCAGTGACTATGTGTTTTATGGGTGTTTTAATTCCTTTAATCCTTATAATCATTGTATTTTCAGTTTACCAATAAGGAAACTAAGCCCAGAGATGTTAAATTGCCTTAACCATAGTTAGGAAGTGGTAGAGTGAGGAGTCAAACCCAAGTGGTGTGACTCCAGAATGTGTGCTACATTTCTCTCAGTTATACTACATTTCTCTTAATAGGAAATCCTGTTTAAATTTCAAAGAAAAACAATAGAGGGTTATAAGAAAAAATGTGAACCAAATGATAAAACATCTAGAAAGGTAAAAGTGAATCCTAAAGGAGATTGCAAGATGAAGAGTGATTAAAAGTGTGTGATATAAATGGATGGATGATACTAACTTCACCTTTAGGACAGCTATGAGAAGACATAGGGGACCAAGAACCAGTTTCTTTACCTCTCCTCCAAGTTGGGAGTGAGGGACAATAAAGCCTGTAAAGAAGTCACCCAGGAAAACTGGGTTTCTCTTGGTATGAGACAGAAGACAGAAGAGGCAGAAAAGGAAAGAAAAGAAAAGGAAAGAGAAACCACTCAGGAAGTGAGTGTTTGGGGATGGGAAGAGATGACCTCTCTTAACCTAAGAAAATGAATTAGCCAAAAAGCAATTGATTGAATAGCCCATTGCATTCCTTTACTAAGACTTGGAATGAACCAGGAAGTGGTCAGAAATTGCCTTAATACCTTTCAAGGAGACGAAGTCATAATGACCCAACCAATTCTAAAAATGCAGGCCATGACTTCGTAGTAAGATGGAAAAGATCATTTCTCATTCGCTTTTCTGTGTATGTACTGTGACTAGCTTGGTGCTAGGAATATACTAGATATTCCTAGATATTCAGTAAATTTGTTCTAAATCATCCTAACTAATGATGCCAAACTCTTATTCTTTGGATGCTTTTTCCTGTGACAGCATTGTTCTAAATCATCCTAACTAATGATGCCAAACTCTTATTCTTTGGATGCTTTTTCCTGTGACAGCATCCAGTGAATAAATTTGATGGAATATGGGTGGGGAAATTGTGTAATACTATAAACCTTATTTAGAAGACACTAAGTAAGTATTGATGGATTTGTAATTATACTACATTATTAGCCTCATTTTTATTCTAGGTATATTGAAGTATAATTGACAAATAAAATTGTGAGATATTTAAAGTGTACAATATGATAATTTGATATATATGGTGAAAGGGTTCTCCTATCAAGTTAACACATCCATCACCTCACTTATTTATCTTTTTTCTTTTTGGCAAGAATATTTAAGTTTTACTCTCTTAGCAAATTTCAGTCATATAATGCAATGTTCTCAACTAGTCACCATGTTATATATTATATCCTCAGACCTATTCAACCTTAAAGTTTGTACACTTTTACTAACCTCCCCTTATTTCCCCTATTTCCCAGCCCCTGGTGACCATTTTTCTACTCTTTCTATGAATTTGATTTTTTTTTATTCCATGTGTAAATGATACCATGTGGTATTTGTCTTTCTCTGTCTGGTTTATTTCATTCATAATGTCCTCTAGGTTCATCTAATTTGTTTTGTTCATGTATTAATAACCATGTATTTATTGAGCACCTGCCATATGCTAGGCATTATGCTAGGTACTAGTTGAAAATGCAGTAAAATGGGACAGACCTGGCTAGCTACAGCCCTAGTGGAGTTTACAGGATAGTGGAGGCAAGAAACACTCTATCAATTAGCATT